ACGCGACGGTAGGTCGACCATTGAATTTCGTTTCGGACGCATCTAAGTCCATTCATTATCAGCACGCCTCTCCTGTCATTCACCCCGATCATCAACAGGGCAACGCCCTCAGAGTCGTCAGCCAAGGTTCGAGTCCCGCACTTGCATTCCAAACATCGAAAGGGCATGCTCAGACGATCATGTGAGTGACATGTGCCTGTGCCACCGTACAACGAGGTACAACGAGGCAGCGTACTGACAGTCTCTAGTCCTGGACCATGGTTGCGGTGAGAAATCCAACTCAGACCTGTGCAGGTTATTGCTGATGAGGATCGGCAGAGATCACTGCGCTTGTTCGAAGTGTCGAAATGTCGATACTGGGCAGCGCCAGATCAATGTGTTCAAGGCAAGCTTCGCTATCGCACACAAACGGGTTGTACATACATTGATCCCAGGCAGCACTCGGAGGCTGGACGAGTATCTCAGATCCAAGCTATCGGCGACGTATATCAGGTGACCTGTAAGCACTGCATTACACGTGTATCACAGTACGTTCGGAGCATGACCTGACAAGTGTGTAGTCTCGGATGGCCATCAAAGCGTCTTCCCTCCCGATGCTTTCGATGCAATCCAAGACAGCTTAAAGACTGATCTGCTCCGGACCGGAGTCGTTGAGTCTGTGAGGTCTATCGGCACGACTCGATGATGTGTACTGATATGGCGGCAGAGAACGTCTGTGGCAAGCGAGCATTGCGGACGATCCGCCACGGGTGCACTACGACAGCGTCCAGGCCGGTCCCGGAATGGCGCACTTGATGATGCTCTTGGTACTACCAGTCTTTCCTTGGAGCTCGGCAGGTGCAAAGTCTGACGTAGCGCAGAGAGTGTACGGCTTCTGCTCGGTAGTACACACGCCTCCGACGCCTGAAGCTACGCAAGCGTTGCTGGAAAGTATTGGACCAATACGAAATACTCATTACGGTAGGCTGGCCCAATGAAACCTTCTGAGCGATGTCTGAATCTTTGCAGGTGGCTTCTACGACTTTACGGCCGATCTGTCCTCGAAAGATACAGCATATACCAATGAGTCCCTCGAGCCACACTCTGATAATACCTACTTCACGGAGCCGGCGTACGTCACCACACTACAGTACTGCCATAGCCTCGATTCCCATAGCTGATTAGTTCTGCAGAGGTCTGCAAGCATTGCATATGCTGTCCCACACTGACGGCTCGGGTGGCGAGTCATCACTAGTAGACGGCTTCAAGGCAGCTCAGCTACTACGCGAGACCGATCCCGAGGCCTATCGCATCTTGAGTACTACCGGCGTCTACGCCCACGCAAGTGGTAACGAAGGCATTAGCATACAGCCTGCTGCACCTGCACCGACTCTTTCGCACGACAAGTATGTCGATCGATTGACGCAGGTCCGGTGGAACAACGCAGATCGAGCGGGCGTAGCTGCTCAGATTGGAGAGGAGATGGAGGCGTGGTATCGTGCTGCTGCGTAGGTCACGATCGAGACAGGTTTCGACAGTGACAGAGCTGACGTCTAGTAGTAAGTGGGACGCGATCCTCAGTGATCTAAATAATCAATACTGGTTCCAGCTCGAGCCAGGCACGCTGCTTTGTGGGTCGCGGTGATGTTCCGCCGCACAGTGAAGCATACGCGGCTGACATGTATGTTGCAGTGTTCGACAACTGGCGAGTGCTCCACGGAAGAAGTGCATTCACGGGGAAGCGACGCATGTGTGGCGGCTATAGTGAGTGCTCTCACCTACATGGATGTTGGTACAATGATTCTGACCAACAGTCAATCGCGACGATTTCATCTCGAAATTCCGCACGACGAACCTGACAAAGGAGGACCTCGAGGCATCGACAGTCACTGGTTAAGTTGAGACGGAAGCTTTTCCCGGTCAACTGCTTGAGCGAATCGTGGGAAGGATAGGGTGTGTCCCAGGGTAGAATGCATACTGCTCGTTCATTGTATCACCAATAGACCCGATACTGTACAACTAGCTCTTGCCGGACTCGCACTTTACGTTGAGGTGAGAGGGTGACGATGCTGTTTCTGAGCTTAGGGACACTCTGAGCGCAGGCGGCTCATCTGATTTATACATTATGCGAACCGTCGGAGGCGGGTCGACCCTTGTTAGCGTGACAAGATACATAGCGAATGAAAGAACTCGATTTTCATGGCATAAGTCCTCCATGATATTTATCTTGCACTGCAATTTTCCGCTTTCTCGATTCGCCTAAGCCGTGTTCAATGTCAATGCAGCTGAGAAACTTGCGGTAGGGACATCTCGCTCTCATTCGGTCATCTGCGCAGTTTCCGTCATCCCCATTGCGAATGAGCAGGACTAGCATTGCTACTGCTCGTCGTCTATGGACTTCACTGCGACCTAGCAAGTTTCTGCTGTACACGACGCCAATTCGGAGCTTCAGGAGCAGTGTATTCAGGATGGAGGAAGCTGCAGCAGTGCCTCTCACTGCCGACCCCAAACCCGACCAGCTCATCGAGCACGAAGGGAAGACCTACCGCACCATTCGTGAAGGGAAAGCCTATATCCTTGTCCCGCCCAAGGCCCGGACTGAGATCGACCCCAAGGCAGCCGCCAAGGATAGCGAGAGCCAAACGGTGTTCTACAACCCTATACAGCAGTTCAATCGGGACTTGAGTGTGCTTGCGATTCGAGCGTTTGGCAGGGATCTGTGCGAGAGGAGAAGGGTGAGGCATGAGGGGAGCAGAGAGAAGAGGGTGGAGAAGAGGAATGTGAGAAAAGAAAAGAAGGGGAAGAGCGCGGGAAACCATGCGAAGGTGGCGCAGGAGGTGGATGGAGAAGCAGCGGAGGAAACACGAGCTGCAGCGGACAAGGGTACGTTGAAGAGGGCAAGAGTGGCCGATGAGGATGACGATGAAAGTCCAGTGAAGCTTAGAAAAAGTACAGATGGCGAGAAGCTGGCGATCGAGTCTGAGTTGGAGCATAGCGTGGACCCATTGCCGGAAGACATGCAGGTGGACGAAGTCAATGGCGATGGAGCTACAGCACCAAGCAAGACAACTGTGGAGCCCAGAACGACCGCAGAGACTGCCTCAGCGTCAGAGTCTAACGCACCGGCCGGGTTCAATGGCTCTGTGAAGGAGAGCAAACCGCCCTTTCGGATACTGGACGCTCTTTCAGCCACGGGTCTGCGTGCCCTACGCTATGCCCAAGAGGTACCGTTCGCAACCGCCATCACGGCGAACGACATGTCCCGGGATGCAGTCCGTAGCATTGCCCTGAACGTTAAGCACAATGGCCTGGAGTCGAGGATCATAGCACACACCAGCAATGCACTGGCACACATGTACTCAGTCGCTTTCCCGCCCAGCGACTCCCACGGTCCAGATCACGTCTCTCACCGCTACGATGTGATCGATCTCGACCCATACGGCACAGCGGCACCCTTCATTGATGCAGCATTGCATGCCTTGAACGATGGCGGCCTGCTCTGCGTCACATGCACCGACTCTGCTGTCTTCGCATCATGTGGCTACCCAGAGAAGACCTTCGCACTGTACGGTGGACTTCCAACAAAAGGCCCTCACTCACACGAAGGTGGTCTCCGCCTCATCCTGAACTCCATCGCCACCAGCGCAGCACGCCACGGCCTAGCAATAGAACCCCTCCTAAGTCTCAGCATAGACTTCTACATCCGCGTCTTCGTTCGCGTCCGCAAATCACCCGCAGACGTCAAGTTCCTCGCCGGCAAGACAATGATAGCCTACAACTGCGACGCCGGCTGCGGATCCTGGACCACTCAGCTACTAGGCCGCAACCATCAATCGCAAAGCAAGACTAAATCCGATACGGTGAACTGGAAACACGGCGCCGCGCAAGCACCTTCCACGGATAGACACTGCGAGCACTGCGGCTACAAGACCCATGTTGCTGGACCAATGTGGGCAGGCCCACTGCACAACGCGCAATTCATCGAGAAGATGCTCGAAGACGTTCAAGCCGCTGATCACGAAGACTACGCGACCCACGCCCGCATCGAAGGCATGCTCGACACCGCGCTCGACGAAATCTACGCCGCTACCTTCGTGCCGGAGAAATCCCCGTTCACGCCCTCCTCCAACCCCGACGTCCTGATCTCAAAATCCATCCCCGAGCAAGTAGACAACATACCCTTCTTCTTCATCCCCTCCGCACTCTCGAAAGTCCTGCACTGCGTTGCGCCGAGCGAAGCCGCTATCAAAGGCGCACTGAGGCACATGGGATATAGAGCTACAAGAAGTCATTGTAAGCCCGGAAGTGTGAAGACTGAGGCGCCGTGGAGTGTGGTATGGGAGGTTATGAGGGAGTGGGTGAGGCAGAAGAGTCCGTTGAAGGAGGGGAGTTTGAGGGAGGGGATGCCGGGGTGGAGGATCATGCAAGCTGCACGAGTCATTGAAGAGGGTGTAGCAGATCCGATTGGAGCAGTTGGTGTAGATGGTGCTGCTGCTGTTTCAGCTGAGGCAATAACGAACAGCGAAGCTGCGGCGGCCGACGCAGCTACCGCTGCAGCTGACATGAATGGCACTGCAGCTGCGCCGCCGGCCAGTGGGCCAACGCCTAAGTTGATGAAGGTTGTTTTCGATGAGGCGCTGGGCCGCGACAAGCCTCGCAAGAAGAGGCTGGTGCGATACCAGCAAAATCCGCGAGAGAACTGGGGTCCTATGGCGCGGGCAAAGTAGCTGCTAGTCCTGGCATTAGTATAGAACGTCGGCTGAGTATTACACCCCGGCTTGAACACGACTATCCAATGGTCCCCATCCCATAATCTCCATTTCGTCACCCCAGACCCCTCCTCAAGTGCCTGGACTGTTGTTGGGCGACGTTGCCAAGCATCGACGGTGCAAAACTCTACAGTCGTGCGCTTGTGCCCACTGTTACGAACCTTGCACCATTCGCTGCCTCTTCGCAGTGAGAACCTCCTCTGCGACTGCAAGTCCAGACGATACAAAATGCAAAACTGTATCGTCTGGTTGCGATCGAGACGGGACTCGAACCCGCAATCTTTGCCAGACTGAACCGGAAAGCAACGCCTTACCATTAGGCCACCCGACCATTCTACGTATTTCTTCTCTAATCCATTATGCCATCGCTCTGTGACGGTCATCTTGGCAGCCGTGAGCAGCAAATCCTTGATGCAAACTCTGAGCCGAAGAGGGATTGAAAGCAAAATACCAAGGGTATAGGGAGGTAGAGGTATTCGTTTGATCCTCTACCCTACGCCCAGCATCTACTCTGGCTCTTTCATCTATTCCACAAGCCCTGCACTTTTGCGTTGGCCCCAAGCCCGCTATACGCCAGCCCAAACCAGAAGTCCAAATTAGGAGCTTTCGCATTCACAGTATCCCTCAAATCAAACGCCGTTCTACGCTCCCATTGCCAGAGCCCAAGGTTTCCGAATGTGATCCCATCCCATCCCGTCTGATCGCCTTTTGTTGTGAACGCCATGCTAAGAACAAGAAACCCAGTGTAATAAAGAAAAGCAACGCGATTTTTATGTTTGCAAATAATGATGCCGTGTAACGTAATCTGTGCAGGAAGGAATGAAAATCTGTAGGAGCGCTAGTTGCATAGGCTCGACTTTTGGTGTGGAGTTTTGTCGCCCAGGTCATGCTAGGTTGTGAGGCGATGCGATGCGGGCAAAGTCGATGAAGCGGCAATGCATGGAGCTTGCCATGCTCGAATCATCGCTTGCGAGAGGCAGATACGCGCGAAGTCGCTCGAGCGCCATACCATCGTGGAAGTGAACGAGCTCGCTTTTGTGCCATTAGAAATCGGCCATTCGCTTTTGTTGCTGCCACTGGCACCATCGTCGCATGTGTACCATCGTCCAGCAAGACCGTGATCAAATCCGGAAAAGCGTGCCACTAGCCCATGACAGTCTGCGGCGCGTATGCAGAAGCAACAGGGTACGGGCGGTAAGTCCGAGTATCGCAAGAAAAGCACTCGCAGTCAAAGCGATGACTGTTGCGGCTCGAGTTCCACGCGGTGTTGTACCACGCCGCCGGTGCGTATGAAGAAGTGTCGTAATAGTTTTGTGGCGCTGTAGCAGCCGGGGAGATGTAGTTGTACTGGGACTGACGACGAAGTTCAGTCGCTTGGCGGTTGGCTTCGTCAATATCGTTCAACGTTGGGTAGTGCTGATCGCGGCTGTAGTAGTCTGACAGGTTCGAGCGTGCTGGCAGACCCCAGGTATCGCTCGAGCTGTAGGGTGTCGTGGCGTACTGCGATGCGCGGGACGACAGCGACTCGTGACTGCGGCCAGAAGAAGCTGTGTAGGGTGTCGGGTACGGTGAGTACCTGTTGCTGTTGCTCGAGTGGCGATGAACATTCGTGTCAAGTGGCGACAAGCGAGTGGCTGCCTGCTGCTTGATATTTTGCTCAGCATCGTACGTGTTCCACGCTTCGATCCAGCCGGCCACTCCGCCTTTCGGGTCCACATGCAAGCGGTATTTAATCAGCTGCAGCCACTCGCGCTCGAGCAGATTGAGCTCGCTGACTTTGATCGCCGTCACGTCTGACCAAGACTTGTTTACGAAAGTGTTGTCGTCCAGAAACTTGCTTCCGAGTATCAGCGATACCGCCAAAAATCGATTGATCTGATGCTCGCCAGCCTTGATCGATCCTGGCTGCGTGGCTAAACGCTCAGACAGATAGTGCAAGCTGAGCAATATCGTCGCTGAGGGTAGTCTTGTAGCCGAGAGCACCTGGTGCACCCACTTGCGGAATGAAGGCGGACTCGAAACGGTGTAGTTAAAGCTTCGGAAAATGTCAATATCTGCAAGGCAGATGGGGGACAAGTGAATGTCATACATCTTCTGAGCGTACTTTGTCACAAAGTCCGTCATGCGCTCCATCTCATAGTCCAGCTTTGCGGATACACCGCCAGTCGCCTTGTCCTCTTTTGCTGCTTGGCGTTGTTGCTCACGCATCGCTGCGCTCTCTTGCTCTTGCTGCTGCAGGCGGCGTTGGTAGTCGTCGCTGAAGGAGAGGTGCTCTTGCATCCGCAGTGGAGGCAGGATCGGAGCACCTATCGGCTCGTAGTAGCTCGAAATCGGTGGCAGGTTGTTCGCAGGCTGGAAGGTGCCGGACTGATACTGGTAATTAGGCGGTGCCGGTGCGACAGCAGGCTGCATGTAGCTGTGAGGATAGTCATAGACGCCATCATTGTGGTTGCCACCCATATTTTGATGAGGAAGGTATGGCTCCTGTGGGTAGTGGACGTGACTGAAGCCGTAGCCTGCAGATCCAGAGTCTGGTGGTGTGAGTGGTAGCGAACTCCCTTGAGTGCGCGGATAGAACGATGGCATGATTGCAACAGATGTCGACCGAGCGGACGTGATATACACGACCTGATCTGGCGTCAGTGAAGATCAACAGTGAAGATCTTCGAAGCGTGACTGACCGCCTCCAACTCTTCTCCTCACCACCTCAGCCCCAACACCTGCGCTCACTTAAGAGCAGAGGCGTTCACTGAAGTCCGTTCATGCAGTGGCGATGAAGTGATAATGCCAGATGGCGATCGATGTGTTTGTCCCCGTCACTGCGATGCGGTGCAAGTGACTTGTATGATGTCTGCTTCTGCTGACGTGACGTCGTAGATGGAATGCGCAAAGCGAGTGCGAAGTGTCAAAGACGTATTCGCAGTGAAATCGCAGGCAGTAGAATCCAGATATAGTACTCTAGGCAGTGCTGTCGGCACAGACGTGGCTAAGTGAATAGCTCGTCCGTGATGAGTGAGTCGTAGGGTGGTGTAGCGGAATCCCAGGGGGTCGTCGCACGGCGAGAGTGGTTCCTCGTAGCAGTGACCGGAAGCGTCAAAGACTACTCGCTCTCACACCCGCTTGCCGTGAAGTGGCGCGACGGTGATGCAAAGATCGCAGTGCTGGCAAAGAGCGTGATG